CCAAAGTCCGAGCACAAGCTGAAGTACTCCAATATTGTCAGGAGTCGCAGCCATACCAGCTTGCTGACCAGACTTTGCGGCAGTGGTCCAAGGTATGGACGCATCATCGGCTTCAAGCGCCTGATCTTCCCTCGGATTCCAGTGAGTGGGACGCTCTTCCCCATATCTCTTTTACTGATGTAAGGAATGTGGTGAGGTCCTTTTCGACCAAGACAGCTGCTGGCCCTACGAGGTTGGCGCCGAGGAGTCTGGACGTCCTGTCCGACGGCGCGCTCCAAGCTATTGGCAACCTTTTCATGTTATGTGAACGGTGGTTGTGCTGGCCAGCAGATCGAATATACAGCGAACTCGTGCGACTGCCGAAACCCGATGGCGATCACCGATTAATTGTTCTGAGTAACACACTGATACGTGTATGGGGGAAACTCAGGCGACCGATTTCGAGGGAATGGCAAGATCGATATGCCTGCCATGAGATGTGGGGCACGAAATCGGGGCAGACTTCGAGCGATTCGGCATTCGACCACAATTTGCAGCAGGAGATTGCCGAGTTGCTAGGGGAGAACACATGCACGATTCTTTTGGATATGTCCAAGTGCTACGAGATGGTAGACCCGCACGCTTTGTTGCGAGAAGGGAGAGCCTTGGGGTTCTCTATGCGATTGCTGTGGATGCTCGTGTGCAGTTACCAGCAGCCGCGAAGGATTCGCGCGTTTGGTAGCGTATCGGTTGGGCAGGTATCTTACCAAGGAATTTTGGCGGGTTGCACGCATGCTACTTTCCTCCTCTACCTGCTCACGTACAGGGCTGTCAGTAGAGCAAACCAGGTCTCGGTCACGGTCACGCCCCGCACCCTCATGGATGATGTCGGGCTCCAGTCCATCTCGAAGGCCCCTGAGGACCTCAAGTATCTGGCCATTGCGGCCAAGGGCTTCGTCCACGATTCCAAGGGGCTGGGTATGGTTTTAAATGCTGCGAAGTCAGGCGGGATCCCTGGGAAAAAACGTCTCTGGAAGACCGTCAGTAAGTACATGGGCTCCATGAAGATCCCGTTCAAGGCCCACATGAGGAACTTAGGCCACGAGTTGTCAGGACCTCGAGTTTTGCGTAGGATCGAGAAGCGTCGCCTGACCAGTTTTAGAGATCGCCGCCAGCGTTTCACCATGCTGCGAAGGGCGACAGGCAGGCGAGTGACATCGTTGTGGAGGACTGGGGCCCTGCCGTCAGTTGGCCACGGCGCCACTGTGGCAGGGGTGAGCGACTCGGCTTTGAAGGAGCTCAGGCTGTTCGCGGCGGTCCTCAATGGGGCTCCTGGCAGATCCTCCACGGGGCTCACGGCGTACTTGATCTCGCACAAGAACGACCAGTATGACCCCATATACCATGCGACGTTGCAGGTTGTGATTAAGTTTTCGGAATGGATCTGGGACTCCAGGGTTCAACCGAGCAGGCTCCACAGGGCCTGGGAGAAGCTCAACGAGAAGTTCGGGGGCTCGCAGAAGGCTTCGTGGGCCCAGGCCAGGGGCCCCATGGCGGCCACATGGCTGTCGCTTCGAAGGATCTCTTGGGACCTTGTCGCCAGCCACGTTGTTAGGGACGACCTAGGCCGAGTCTACGACCTCAGGACGCTGAGCCCAGCAGATTTCAAGCACTTCTTGACCGAGGGAGTGCAGAGGTGGCAACACGGCCGCCTCTTGCAGCATCTTTATACTGTGGGTGACGGAGTAGCTATTCCAGTCTGGCACAGGGCCCTCCGGTATGCGATAAAAGGGATTCGATGCGTGAAGCGTCTTGGAGCGATTCAGGCACACTGGGCCGACGGTATCCCTATACCTGCCAGGCTGGATTTGAAGGCTGGAGGCCGATTCCGTCCCTGCGCAGCTTGTGGTCGCCAGATCAACGAATGCTGGGGACACATTCTGTACGACTGCCCTGCTCTCTTGGAGGGCGACCCCGATGATGAATTTGCTGCCCTGCCTGAACAGCTCGTCGAAGTGCGAGATCGCCTGGTGAATTCTGGAGTCGGGGCAGGTCGTCCCGAATGGGACTACACATACCCTGTCTATGGGATCCCTGAGCTTCCTGTCGGGCTACCTCCGAGAGATTCTGTGAGTTCTGAAGTTTTGTACTGGGGCGATACCGAAGGGCAATGGGGGCCAAAGTCGTACACGGACGGTTCGGGGTTCGGGTCGAATGTGCCAGAAACCAGGAGGTGTGGCTGGGGCCTATGCCAGTTGGACCCCGACACTTTCTTGCCGAAGCGGGCGATTTTCGGCCCATTGCCGTATCTAATCCAGACAGTCGGTCGTGCTGAAAGATATGCTATACGTATGGGGCTGGTTGTTCATCCAAACCACGAGGTTTTCGTGAGCGATTTACTCTCTTTGGTGGAGGAGGGGAATGCTTGGATGGACGAACTTCAGCACGGCCGAAAGCAGCATGCACGTGTGTGGCGAGATATTTTTATTGCAGCTGAGAGGCGGGACAAGAAGCTGCCGCCTCCAGCATTCCAGTGGACCCCTGCGCATCGAGACATCGAAGCTGTGGTGTCGAGCGGGGCTGGTACTACGGAAATTCAAGATTGGCTCGGCAATGCCTGGGCGGACTTTTTCGCAAGAGTTGGCGCTGCTCAACATGCTGTCGCAAAGGTGACGACTGAGAGCGTGGCGTCCGCCCTGAAAGAGCACCGACTGGTTCTTCAGTATGTGTCCTGGGGAATCCAGAGGGTGGTGGAGTCTCTGAAGTACGGACGAGATGTGTTTCCAGGGCCCCGTCCAGTTGAGATTCGTGCGCCTGTGCTCTTTCAAAAAGCGGATGATCATGTATTGTACAAGAACGTCAAGACGGGCGTTTTCAAGTGTAGAAGGTGCGGGGCCTCAGCCCGCACGCCTGCGTCCTTCGACAATCTGCGTGTGGGTGGGGGTCGGAAGTGTGTGCCCAGCAAGATCACCCAGGCCCTCACAAATGAGTTCTTCAGGACGTCCCTCGACGTGTGGGAGATGCCAGTGAGTGATGCGCGCGTGGCCGCTGCCCTCGATGCCGCTGCCGCCTTAGAGCCCCAAGGAGCCCCCGAGGAGGCCGAAGGAGGCCCCTCCCAGCCACCTGTGCTCGACGGGGCCTCTAGGGAGGATGTGGACCCCCTCATCCTGGAGTGTGGGGCTCTAGGGCACGATGTGTTCAGTGTTAATTCAATGTATTGCTGCCGTCGTTGTGCAGGGCATTGTTCAGTGTTGCAGGTTAATAGTCTCAGGAAGCTGAAGCGTGAGTGTGTAGGCCTCTCTGACAACCTCAGCACTCGGAGGAACCAGCTCAGGGCGATCGACAGGATCAGCCGTGGGCTCGAGCCACGTCAGCGAGGAGGGGACCCCGAGCCCCCGCCGTAGGCTGTTTTTGGTCTGGGCCCCCTGGTCCCTGGCGTGTGTGGTCCTGGGGCCCCTCGCGTTTCCTGGTGTGGCCGTTTTTCCCTGTCCTTGTTTGTGCTGAGGTATGTCAGTCCAGCTGGCGTACTCTTGGTAGCCTGCACCCTGCACCCTCCTCCTCCGGCCTTCAGAGAGGCTCTCCTGAGCCTTCTTCGGAGCCGCAGAGGCCTGCCGAGAAGGTTTGCGCCATCGCACTTCCCCCCTCGGCGCGCCGCCGAGTGAGGAGCCGAGTCGGCCACGCGCAGAGGGGGGTAGAGGGAGGGGGGAAGGCGCCAGGAGGCTTCTCAGAAGCAGGCTCCTTGTGAGAAGCCCTTCCCCTCTCCCACTACTGTCGGACCGAGGTATAAGATCGAGGTCGGTTCGGGGAGAGTACCATAGCGTTCTTCGTGCCTGCTGGATGTCATTGCGCACCCTGGGGAGGGTACCTTTGGATGTTCTGTGTGCTTTGGCCGGCGGAGGGCCTCATGTTCTTGAGGGATGTTCTTCTGGCCCAGGTCCGGCTGCACCCCCTCGGGCGCGCCGCCGACTTGGGCCATGTGTTTTTCAGCGGGCGCCGTGCCCGCGGTCAGTCGATGGCCCTCAGGACGTGTGTTAACCCAATGTGTGTTTACCCCGGTCAGTCCGCCCAGCTGATCATCACATCGCCTTCGTCGCATCGAAGGGCTGAAGGGCCTCAATGGACGAGCACACGTTGGCGCTAACACACGTCCTGCGGACCATGGAGTCAGGCGCACGAGCCTGGCCAGAGGCGTGCGCGGGCGCGCAAGCTGCTCGGCCTCCAGGCTTGTCGCCCCTGCCGAGGTAGGGGCGCCGGTGGCGCACGGGGGGTTCTCCCTTCGGCGGCGGCCGACCGTACCTGGCACGGACTGGCCAGTCGTGTCGTGGGCTTGGCGCTTAAGAGCTCCTCCTCCTCCTCCTCCTCCTCCTCCTCCTCCTCCTCCTCCTCCTCTCCGCCTCTTCCTCCTCCTCCCCCTCCTCCTCCTCCTCCTCCTCCTCCTCCTCCTCCTCCTCCTCCTCCTCCCCCTCCTCCTCAATCCTGTCCCTCTCCCTCTCTCTGAGCAGCCCCGTCGTGGACTCAGCGCCCCCAGCGGGCGAAGCGGCCAGGCCCTGCAGGCCAAGCGTGCCGCTCGGGGCCCGCAGCCCGAGGCCAGGAAGGTCTTGGTCCGGCTTTCGTCGGGAGCTGGGAGGCGGGCTTTTTCCGCACTGGTGAGCCTGTCTCCAAGCTTGCCGCAGGCCAGGGTATTCGGCTCGCATCGGCTCCTGTCGTGTCTGGTCGTGCCGTGTCCCGTCTTGTCTTGGCCTGCCTTGCCGTGCTTTGCCTTGCTTTGTCTTGTCCTGTCCTGTCCTCCTCCTCCTGCTCCTCCTCCTGCTCCTCCTCTTCATCATCCTCCTCCTTCTCCTCCTCCTCCTCTTCCTCCTCCTCCTCCTCCCGTCCTCCCCCTCCTCCTCCTCCGGCTCTTCCTCCTCCAGCTCCAGCTCCAGCTCCAGCTCCTCCTCCTCCTCCTCCTCCTCCTCCTCCTCCTCCTCCTCCTCCTCCTCCGCGGCGTGAGGGCTCACGGGGGACCCTGGCCTGCCCCTGAGGTAGAGGGCTTCTGGCCCGACGAGGAGGCCGAGGAGGGCGGGACCTGGCTGCCCGCGACGGTCGCCGAGGTAAAGGACCGGCCGCGCCGCGGGGGTGTGCGGGTCGTTTTGGGTTACGTCGGGCTTGTCCCTCTGCTCTACAGGGAACCTTCAAAAGTAATCCCAAAATAATATGGGCACGATTTTGTTGAGTATTGTCGGGCATGTTTGAACAACATTTTTGGTGTATTTTTTTCTGGTCCAAAACCCGCCTAGCGGGACCGGCCCGACCTAAGTTTTGGGGCCGCGGGCGCGGGAGGGGCGGGCCCACGTCGACTGCACGTAAGAGTGACCTTTCGCCAGAGTGACCTTTGGTGCTGGCCCACTCGTCATCGTCATCGTCATCGTCCTTTGGATCGTCATCGTCATCGTCGTCGTCGTCGTCGTCGGTTGGCTGAACGCGATGCGGTAGCAGCGTCTTGCCGTCTTGCGCGCTCGGGTGTGCGGGTCGGGTCGTCTTGGGGCCGCGAGTGCAGGAGGGGCGGGCCCGCGTCGACTACACGTACAGCGGGGGCCCCTGTCAAGAAACACCCTGCTTGCCTCCAGGGTGCCCTGGGTTTCTTGGGTTTCAATGGTTTTGCCATGGAGAGCGCGACTCTCCCACGCCAACAATCGACGAACGCCCTGGGGCCTCAGGGTTGGGTTTCTTGTGGAAGGCTTCTTGTGGGCTGGCCTCCACTGTACACGCAAGAGTGACCTTTCGTCGGAGCGGCCTTTCTTTGGTGTTGGCACACTGGTATCCCTAGATGACGGAACGCGATGCGGCAGCAGCGTCTTGCGCGCTCGGGTGTGGCCTCCCCACGGCCCCCGAGGGCCGCGCGCCGAAAATCCTTCCTGCCGAGGGTCACTCTTTGCATCCTAGCCGACCACGGCGGGTGAGAGGGTCGGAGGAGGCACAGGGCACGCCGAGTTTCTTAAGAAGCGTCGGGGGGGGGCGCCACCCCCGCCGACAGCCCCACATCGACCCCCGTCGCAGGCAGCCACCGCGCGCCGAAGGCGCTCCGACCCGCGACGACGAGGCGAGGTTGACGCCCGTCGGGGGGGGCTACCCCCCCACGCTTGTTACGAAAAGAATCCACCGCTTCCCCCTTGGGGGGGCGCCGCTGGTGCGGCTTCAGCGCTCGCAGGAGGAGGAGGAGGAGGAGGAGGAGGAGAAGGAGGAGGAGGAGGAGGAGGAGGAGGAGGAGGAGGAGGGGTTTGAGGGAGGAGCAGGTACGTCTCCGACCCCCACCAGTCCTTGCAGCCCTTGTCCTTCTACTGCGGCTGCTGCTGATCTCCTGCGACATGTTTTTTCCCATCGGGGGAGGGCGCGTGCAGGGGGGCGCAGAAGGAGGGGAAGGCTCTGTGGCGCCTGAGCCCTGTCCTGCGGGCCCAGCTCCCTGGCGCCACCACCCCGGCGGGCACGGCGGCGCGGCGGAACGGAGTGGCCACGCAGCACAGCGGCCCGGCTCGAGCGGTGACTGGCCACGGTAAGTTTTGCTTGCTGGGCCCAGCGGCGCACAAGTCTCGCCCAGCGCGGGCTGGCGGTGCCCGGCCGCCCAGCCCAAAAGCGAGGGGATGGGCCGGCGGGGCGGGGTCGCCCGTGGGGCAACTATTGCGCCGGGTGGCGCCATGAGCAGGCGTCGCTGGATCGGGGCAGCCGCCCGAAGGTCTGCATTTTGGCGGACACGGAGCGTGTCGACGAGAGCCCGCGGAAAAAGGCAATCTGCAGTGCTGAGCGCAACGCAAGGCACACGGAATCCGCAGTGGTGCGACGGTGGTGGCGTATTTTTGCAGATTCTTGGCCAGGCCTTCCGCTTCACGTCATGGATGCTACGGATGCTTCCGTTCCTCTGTCCTCCGTTCCGCGCTCCTCTTGCTGCCGCATTCCCCGCGCTTGCCGCTTGCCTCCCCTTCTCTGCCCCCATGCGGGAGGGAAACAGAGGGGAGGAAAGGAACTGGTTTGTGGGACTTCAGCGGGCTTGCGCCTACAGCATGCCACATGTTCGTGGAAAGGAGGGGGGCGGGAGGGAGGGAGAGGAGGGAGGGAAAGAGGGAGGGAGGGGGAGGGAGGGAGGGAGGGGTGAGTGAGGGAGGGGTGAGTGAGGGAGGAGGGAGGGAGGGAGGGGGAGCGTTCTGCTCGAAGGAGGACGGATCCTTCAACATCGTCTGGACCGAGGACGCGTCGTCCAGCGATGTGCCGGCTGACTATGTGCGCAGGACCATTGAGGGCAAGCTGCAAACCAGACGCTAACACTAATTAGGTCTCACTCAGTTTCCTTCACTTCCTCCTCCCTTTCTTCCTGTTCCTCCGCCTTCCTTCTCCTCCTCCTCCTCCTCCTCCTCCTCCTCCTCCTCCTCTGTCCTCCTCTTCTTTCTTCATCCTCTCCGTCTCCTGCTCTTTCCGCGTCCCGTTTCTGTCCCCTCTTCTCTCTTCGATATGTTCTACCCTCTTCGGCATGTTCGTATCATGTCGTGTCGACGCGGCGCCGACCCCAGGCGCGGCCGACCAAGATTGCGCGTTGCCGCCAGCGGCCCGGAATCGGGTGAAATCAGACGATCCACGCTGTCGGAAATCCGCGAATGTTGAAGGTTCGGCGATCCACAAGGTGTCAGAAACGAAGGCTGATGTCATTACGACACGGACCTACAGTAGTTATTATCTCCTCTTCCTCCTCCTCCTCCTCCTCCTCCTCCTCCTCCTCCTCCTCCTCCACAATTACGTTGTCAAACCTGCAGGCGCAGGTGGGGATAACGTTCAATGGAAGGGTGACCTTTAGGGTATGTAAGACGCCTCATGGCCTGAAGGAGGGACAAGACTCTGCGGGGGCAGCGGACCGCCTTCACCCTGCTACTTGCCCAAACCTTTGCGTCGGGGATGTTCCCTCCGAGGATCGCAGGTGGGAGCGAGCCCTCGAACGAGTGCACCACCATGCTTCCAGCGATGGACATCGGGGTGACGGGAGACTTCCGCTGCAACCGCCAGTTTGACGTCCCTTCCCTCCTCTTCATCCCCCCCCCATCCTCCCTTCCCCCTCTCGCCTCCTCTCCTTCCCCTTCCCCTCCTCGCCTCCTCCCCACGGGTCACTGGGGGACGAGAGATGGCTTGGCATCGCTCGGACGTGTGCACTTTTTCCTTCGGCGAGGATCATCGACAGGGAATGGACGTCCGAGCGATGGCGAGATGGGGGAGAGGAGGAGCAGTGGGAGATCTGGACAGCCCCTCTCCCCGCCTCCCCCCCCCCTGCAGCGGGCGAGCCAGAGCAGACCCAGGTAGCATCCACAGTGCTGCGACACGCCCTCCTGTCCCAGGCCCCCTCCCCATCACCTCCTCCTCCCCCTCCTCCTCCTCCTCCTCCTCCTCCTCCTCTTCTCCTCCTCCTCCTCCTCCTCCTCCTCCTCCTCCTCCTCCTCCCCCTCCTCCTCCTCCTCCTCCTCCTTCTCCTCCTCATCCCTCTCCCCCTCCTCCTCATCCTCCTCCACCTCCTCCTCCTCTTCCTCCCCGTAGCCATTTTGGCTCAAGGCTTTGAGTTCCACAGTGGAACAAGTGGATACCGCTAGTCCGCGGCAGTGCCAGAGCGTTTGCGCTCGACGTTTTCTTTCGCCAGTACTGCAGGGGCTTCTGGCGGCCCACCTCATTCCGTGAGCTCCTGTTGGAGCGTGCATGCCATGCCGTGGACGTGGACTGCAGCGGATCGCACCCCACCCTGGCGTACTAAGGGTGGTGATCAGCAGCGCCGTGATGCTGGTCGCCGTGTCCAGAAACGTCGCCGTGGCGGAGAGGGCTCCCCGTATGCCGTCTGCAGTGTCTGTGGGCACTGGGAGTACCTCTTTCATGGTCATGCTGCGTGCAGCCGCTGCAGTGGATCATATGTCAAGCGCGACAAGTCTACGAGTGAGTCGAGTGCGGCGGTCGACTCACATTCCCTCGATCTCTCTGGTCAAGCAAGTGCTGCTGTCGCCCAGTTTCCTGGACTTCGTGACGTGCTTGCACATCATCTGCCGCCCCCACCACCACCGAATGTGCCGTCCGATGCGCAGCTGGATGCAGCAGTGGCTGCCGAACGGACAGCCTTGGCGAAGGGTGTGGAGGAGGCGGCCAAGGCGGAGCGTCTGGCTTGGCAGAATCGTTCTGAACGACAGGAGTCCCTGCTCAAGGCCCGTGAGAAGGTCAAGTTGGCTGAGGCTGCCTTCGCTGAAGCTTCTGCCCACCTTGAGGTCGCCCAGTCCGCCCACACCGTTGCCAAGGAGAAGAAGGACAATTTCGATGAAGTCGTGTTCAAGAAGCAGAAGATGGAGGCTGCTGTGGCCGCGCAGGCAACAGCGCGGGCCTCGGCGACTGGTGCTGATGACCTACCTGGTGGTGATCATGGAGATGCCCCTGCTCCCCCTGCACCAGGCCCTGCACCCGCTGACGCCCGTGAAGTGCTTGGGAAGCTACACACCTTGGGAGATGACGACCTACGGAAGCTCGCCGACAGCACCAAGGTCCCCTTCAGCGAATGGTGCAACCTACGTACAGCTCAGCTGGCCGCCCACAACGTCCTCAGCTCGGTTTCCTCTGGTACCTCGCCCACGGCCACGCCTGGTGGAGCTGATGCTGATGTCGAGTCAGATGCGAAGATGGGCAATGCGAATGGCGAAGGCGGTGGTGAACATAAAGCTGTTCCTGTCGATGATGATGATGATCTTCTTGGTGAGGCTGACCGGCAGGAATTGTCTGAGCTTCGCAAGCGTTCGGCAGAGCAATGCAAGCCTGAAGACCTCGAGAGGTTGGAGACCCTCTTGGTTAAAAAATTTCATGCCCAGGCGCACAAGAAGCTCAAGGTGGCTTCTTATGCTAATGATATGTGGGTTAACGCTTTCGCCCACCTGGCAGCCCCCCATGTTGTGCAAGGCGCGTCGTTGGTTTGACGAGTCCCTGGGGAGGCGAAGGCGAAGGATGTATGAACGTTCGACCATCGATGTGAAGTTCTGCAACGTCTCTAGCTGGTCTGAACTGGCCAAGTCCGAGCTTGCCAGAGCTGTGGAAGAAGTCGACGTTTTCCTCTTCGCCGAACACCATCAGGGACCCGACAAGCTACAGGCCGCCAAGAAGGACTGCTCGTCTATGGGATGGCGCCCGCACTTCCAAGCTGCACTCCCTTCGCCTGGCGGGGGATGGCACGGTGGTGTAGGTGCTGTCGTGCAGAAGGCGGTCTATTGCAATAAATTCCTGCGTAGTCTCCCCGCTGGGGTCGAGAATGTTGGCCAGGGACAGAGTTGGTTTTTTTCTGGAAATGAAGACGCAGCATTGCACGCTCGCGCTGGGTGTTATTTATCTTGTCTCTGGTATTGGGGCCTCTGGTATGAACCTCGACCGTCTCCATGAAGTTGTTGAATTCATTGGGATGCTTGAGTGCCCGTGGATCCTCTTGGGAGATTTCAACATGGAGCCCCTTGAGTTGCACCAATGTGGTTTCTGTGAGGTTGTCTCTGGTGTTACGGTGGACCCCCGCAATACTAATTATACTTGTGACAGAGGCACTGGCCGCCTGATCGATTATGCTGTCGTGTCGCGCGACATCCGCCCGTACCTGACGATTGATGCGGATTGGAGCTCCGCTTTTAAGACGCACGCCTGCTTGCATGTGCAGATGTCGCTCGAGGTACTCCGTGAGACTGTGATGAAACGTGACCGACCTGTTCCAATTGAGGCCCATCCTGGGCCTGATCAACAATGGAGTGATTTCGTCCACCGTGCTGGTGATCAAGTAGTGGAGATACCTCGCGAAGTCCGTGGAGCCTTCCTCGAGTTTCACTGGCCCCTCCACTCCCAAGGACTCTCGGAAGCTTATCAAAGGTGGTCCACTGCTGCGGAAATGCTGTTTTGCTCCCGCTCCCTCTCCACTTGGCCTGCGCCAGGGGGGCGCAGGGGTAGAGCAGTAGTTGTGCAGGAGCGGACCCTTCCTAGACGAGGAGTGATGAAGCAAGGTTTCTCCCACCCCTGCTTGGCTTTTTGGACGTTGATATCGTCCCGCCTGTACGATTTTGCTGTTGCTTTGAAGAGAGGAGGCTCCACCCAGGTCACCGCTCTCAGGACTCTCCTCCGAGCGCGCGGTGACGAGGTGGGGCTACACCTCGAAGGCCTTGCCGACGCTCGGCAAGCTGCTGCGTGGACTGGGTGGTTGCAAGATCTTCCAGGTGACCCAAGTAAACTCGCTGTCATCCAGGAGGCTTTGATTCCTGTTCTTCGCCGCGCTTGGACGGCAGCTCGAAAAGCTAATCGGCTCGGCATCCAGGCCTGGCTCTCCAAGGGTCTCTCGGGGGGGGCGAGAGTGGTCCACCGTTGGTTGCGATCTGACGCCAAGAAAGAGGTTGAAATGTTTGTTACCCCCACTTTCGTCGCTCAGACCCCCCAAGAGCTGATGAGATATCGTGAGCAGTTTTGGGCGTCCTGGTGGACGCCTACGAGTAGGCAAGTCAGCGATCTCGAGTTTGCCATGCGCCGCCTCCGTCCTGTTGCCGAGCTGGAAGCCCTTGAGGCTCGCAGCATTGAGGGCCAAGATGTGATCATGGCGTGCAAGTGTTTCTCGGCCGACACGGCCCTTGGTGTGGACGGGTGGTCCCCACGCGATCTGATGAGGCTCCCCAGTGAAGCCCTCGATCACCTGGCCACCATCTTTAATGGCATTGAGTATGCCCTTGAGTTTCCCCAGCAGGTCTACCTCTGTCTGGTTACCCTCCTGCCCAAGACGTCCACGTCTGAAAGACCTATTACTAAGTGCCCCACCCTCTACCGTCTGTACACCCGAATCCGAGGGGATAAAATCCAGCACTGGACCGATTCTCACGTCGCCTTCTGGGATGCGGCTGTGAAGAATTCCTCGGCCCTGAGGGCCGCGATGCTTCGTGAGGTTCTGCATGAGTGTGCTCGGGTGGAGGGTTTGTTTTCCGTTTCTGGCCACTGGGATATGGAGAAGTTTTTTGACACCATTGACCCAAGTAAGCTCATCGGCTTGGCTCAGGCTGTCAACTACTCCTCCCTGCTCCTCTACCTGGGCCTCCTGATCCACACCTCCCCCAGGCTCCTCGAGGTCCAGTCCCTGGTGTCTGGAGTGATGCAGGCAGGCCAATCTATTTTAGCTGGGTGTTCCCAGTCCTTACCGTGGATAAAATGTTATCTTTACGATATCTTGGAGGCGGCACACTGTCGTGTCCCTCGTGTTCCTATCTCGGCTTATGTTGACGACCTCACCCAGTGCACCCAAGGCACGGTGCAGGATATCATTACCAAATTGGTGCCTGCTGCGCGTGAGCTCTGTGATCGTTTGAAACATCGTGGTTGTAAGATATCGTCTAAGTCGTGCGTCGTCGCCTCCTCTCGGCAGGTTGGTCGCCCCTTCCAGGCTCTGTGTGACGAGCTGAATATTCCGCTTAAAGTTGTTGACTCTGTGAAGGATTTGGGAGTGGGGACTACGGCGGGAAGGAGGAGGACGATGTGGAAGATGAATCAGCGTAAGGAAGAGGCACGGATTCGCAGTAAGAAGCTCACGTTCCTGTCCCATGTCAATCGTCGTGCTCGCAAGTTGTTTAAGCCTGGAGTGGTTGCAGTTGGCACATGGAGCCACCAAGTTCTCGGCACACCACCTTCACGTATGCGTGTGCTCCGAGCCCAGGCAGCCAAGGCGACAGGACGATGGCATGCGGGCTGTTGTACCACCACCCTTCTTGCTCTTGATCATGCTATGTCTGACGACCCAGCATATAAGATTCGTTTTGAACATCTTTTGGAGTGGAGCCGAACTTACCGTGCCCTTGACCCGAGTCTACTCGGGAGTGTGAACAAAGTGTGGCCTAAGTTGCTATCTAAGCTGCGGAGTGTCCCCCCTGCTCATCGCTGGCGTAACGTTCGGGGGCCCATCGCGTCTGTCATTATGTGTGTCTTGGAACTCAACGGGAACCCTATGGAGCCCTGTACGTGGAGATTCCCTGATGTGACCCTCCATGTTAACCGTCGTGATTTCCCGTACTATTTGTGGAAGACTATTGAAAAACAGGTGGGTAGTATGCTTTGGGTCCAGGCGTCTAAGGCGCATGGGGGTCAGGGACTGCATGAAGGTGTCGATTTTACTGTTTTGCGCAGGCTGAGGAATTCGCTGGCTCGGCAAGGCGACCTTGACGGCGTTGCTATTTTGAATCATCTGGTCTCTGGCGCCCAATGGCCAGAACAACGCCTCAAGGACGGCGGCTACCTCAGCAACGGTGTCTGCCCTCGCTGCGGTGCCTGCCCAGAGACACCCTGGCACAGATTTTGGAGTTGTCAGGACAATGTGAATATTGATGATATCCACCTCCACCTCACTAACCATATGTATGAAGATTCCCGTGCTGGAGTTCCTGATTCGGAGTGTTTCTGGACTCGAGGCCTGGTTCCCCTGGGATGGACGGTGGGTGTGTTACCTCCTGTTGAAGCTAAGTTTTGGGCCTGGGGGACTTTCCTTGATGCGATTGTTCAAGGTGTACCTATCCGTGGGGGCATATTTGGGAGTGACGCGTCTGGAGGAGAACAGTCTAAGGATTGGAGGTTGAGGAGATGTGGTTGGTCCGTTGTTCACCTCCTACCTGGTACCCTCCAAGTGTCTGGAGTGATGTGTGGCACCCTCCCTGGCGCAGAGCAAAGCTCCCCTCGTGCCGAATTGTTTGCAGTAGTCCAGTTGCTACGTCACGTCGTCGGTGATGCTGAGTTGTACACCGACTTCTTGCCCGTTGCTCGCGCCTTCGCTCGGAAGGATGCCGAGGTTGATCACTCGTGCATGCTGGACCTGTGGCAGCAGGTCTGGGACCAGCTTGGCAAGAGAGAAGGCAAGTTGAACGTACACTGGTGCAAGAGTCATCCTACCTTCGAACAGGTTTCCGCCCACCGCCTGACCCCCCAAGGATTAGTCGCCAACGGCGTTGCTGATCACTTTGCGGGGGAAGCTGCCAGGTGGGGGGCCCTGCCTATTGAAAAGGTCAGGGAGATTCACAATGTAGATGAGAATTGTCTCCGTGTAATTAAGCGTCTCCTCGCAGTTTCCAGGCATGTTTCGCTCGTGTGCCCACGGACCCGTGAGGACCGTCTAGGTCGAGAGCACCACAAGGAGCGAGGCCCTAGCTCGTGCAACCTCCGCAAAGAGAGGCTGCGCGAGCAGGGTCATGATGTGCGTAAAGTTGCTGGTTCGTTTAAGTGCTCTCGTTGCCTTGTTCGATTTCCTGCCGTCCGCGGTGAGCTGGCCACGTTTTGGCCCAGCCAATGCCCTGGTGCGTTGGTGTTGGGGTCCTCGTCGTCTGATCGGTTGGGCCCTTCGGCGCCCCCTGGCCCCGCGCCCCAGGGCAACCCCGTTGGACATCCCTGTTTCCCTCGTGCGCATCCGACGCACGTTCTGTCTGAATTCAAAGGAATTTTGTTTTGTCGGTGCTGTGGGTATTTTGCCGCCAACGTTGTGCAGAAGTTGGCTAAGCCCTGCCCACCCGCGTGCCCAGTGACTGGCACGCCGCTGTCCGCCACGGGCAGGCGCAATCTTGAGCGGCTCGCCGAAGGCAAGCCACCCAAGTATGGCATGGCCTTCCCCGCTCCTTGATTGAATATTCGTGGGCCCGAGCTTCCACTCGTGAACCCCCCGAATTCTGGAATCGCTGGAATCCTCCTCTTCCTCCTCCTTCTCCTCGGGTCGCCTACGGCCCGGGGGGGAACCGTGCACCAAGAGGCATGGTCATTAAAGCCAAGAGGTACGGTGGTCATAAGAGCCAAGAGGCACAGTCATACAAGCCAAGAGGCACGGTCATAAGAGCCAAGAGGTACGGTCATAGAAACCAAGAGGTCTCCCGGGCAGGAGGGACGCAGAAAAAGCCAAGAGGCGTGGCCCGAAAGGCCCAGAGGCATGGTCTCATGGGCAGGAGGGGAGAAGAGCCAAGAGGCGTGGCCATAGAAAAGTCAAGAGGCATGGCAGGCTCGCGCCGCGTCGACCAGCGGCGACCCCGGCGCGGGCGTTCCAGGTGGAACGCCGCCGGCGACCCACCATCGGCCGATGTTGAACGATCGGACGTTTGGTAAACCACCGATCGTTCCAGGTTGAATGCGCCCCGCGGTGTCAGGGACCAGCGCTGGGGTCGGCGCGACACGAGCCTGCCTGGCCGATGTGGAACGGCCGGACGCTTGGTAAACCACCGATCGTTCGAGGTTGGAATGCGCCCCGCGGTGCCAGGGGCCGGCCGGCGCCGGGGTCGGCGCGACGCGAGCCTGCCTGGCCACCCGAGCTCACGTAAGGGAGCGTCCAGCGAGGGTCCCGCTCCGGAGAGGTGGCGCCGTCCGTCCGTGCACGCAGGCGTGGCACAGCTCCAGGCCTCTGGCGATGAAGCGTCGAGGACGCGCCAAGCGAGAGCCCGGAGGGAAACGTCGAGGAAAAGGTCGAGGAAACGTCGAGGGCGAGGAAAAGGTCGAGGAAACATCGAGGAAACGTCGAGGAAACGTCGAGGAAAAGGTCGAGGAGAAGGTCGAGGAGACGTCGAGGAAAAGGTCGAGGAAAAGGTCGAGGAAACGTCGAGGGCGCGTCCTCTGGCAATCAAGCGTCGAGGCCGGTGTCTGAAGGAACCGCCCATGAACAGTCGGGGGCGGAAAAGAGGGGGGTGATGACTAGGGGGGGCTGGATATCATGGCGGGGGCCATGATATCTCCCCAGATTTCACGGCGCCTCTTCTTGTTTTGTTACGTCCCTGGCCCCCCCGCTGGGTCGCGCACGTGCCGCCGGTCATGAGTTGCACCCCCCCTCTTTCTCCCCCCCCCTCTTGGCCGCTCCCGAAGCAGTTCGATGGTCTGCTTTGCAAGTCTGAGCTTCCGGTCGAGCGAGAGTCACGCTCGAAGCAGGTCCGCCCTCCACCTATGCAGTTGCTCGGGTGTTGGAGCGTGCGCGGCGTACGGCGAGGGCCACAGTTTGAAAACGTCCCGCCTTCCATCGGCGTAGCTGCTGGACATTGTGTTCGAGTTCAAAGGAGGAAACACCACCCAGACCAGACAATTGGCGTCTACTAAACGGCCTTGGGCGTTTACTGAACAGCCCTGCCCTGCTCGATTCCTTCAATGGGGGGGGTTTAGTAGACGGCTTCGCGCGTCGGGGTGGTTATTATGTCGGAAGGTGGAACATATACACTGCCAGTGGCGGGCTGTTCTTCAATCCCAGAACTTTTTGAGGGTCGGGGACGACGTCGGGGTGGTGTGGTGTATACTTTTTTCCCATTTCCCGGGGGGGAACATCCAAACATGTATACACCAGGATCCGTATACACCAGGATCCGCTTTCTTATGCGCCTTTTCAGTGCGGGGCCGGAAAAAGCGTCGGTGTATGGAGTTCGGCTCCTTAATTCTAGGGGTGGATTGTCTGCCCTCTCCGAGTGTGCGCGGCGTACGGCGAGGGCCACATGCTGAAAGCGTCCCGCCTTCCATATCTCAGGAGGGAAAACACACACACAGACATAATGAATCCTCGATCCCCCAGACAGTGTGGGAAACTATGGGAAGATATGGAGAGGGGAAGACAAAAACCCAGAACATATTGGAAAATACTGGGAACCCTGCGATTTGTGTGTATTTTATTTGTGTGTCCCAGGGCCCCATTCCATGTCGGCGCAGCTGCTGCTGTGGACATCCCCGGGGGCGCGCGGGCGCGGCCCGGCCCTCGCCTCTGCAGTTGCCGGGGGCGTGCGGAGAAGGGGCCTGCGCGGCGTGGAGGCCAGAGCTAAGTCGGGCTTGTCCCTCTATAGGAGGAGCACACGCCGGTCGTTGAAAGTAGGTTTTTTTTCCACTCCCAGATCCCAATCTACTTCAAGCGCCTTCTTACTTCAAGAATCGGCATGCTTTTGCTCTGTTTGGGTATTCTCTGGGAGGACCTGGACCCAATCTACTATATCCGCCTTCCTACTTCATGTTTCTACCTACTTCTTCCGACCGACGTGTAAGTCGGGCCTGTCCCTCTACAGGAGGAATGCTCCAACAAAGTCAAAAAAAGATAGCCCGGGGGCGATTTGGGGGGATCATTCATGGCTCTCTTTTGGTAGTGTCTGGATGCTTCTATTGTTCGCCCACGATCCGCCTGTAGGAGAACATGCCCGACCTAAGGCTAGAGCTCTTTCATGAAAGCGGCTCTTTGCCGGCACTCCTCGGTTCTCAGTGCGTGTCAGTCGTGGGGAAGCCGCCTCGGGTGAAACCCCCTTCCCGCCTCACTGTCACGTCTCGTGGTGCGACGGGGAGGAGTTGTTCCATTTTAGATAAGCGCGGAGGGGGAGAAGGGAGGAAGAGGATGTGGAGGAGGAGGAGGAGGAGGAGGAGGAGGAGGAGGAGGAGGGGCCACTTATCGACTTACTGGCTCATCACGCTGAGTGGTGGTCGCAGCAAGCGGGTCGCCCAGGTGATGGAGAAGAACCTGGAAGCACGGAGACAGCTTCCGCAGTACAAGGCTCGAGTGGGGAGGAGGGAAATAAGGAGGAGCAGTGAGGAGGAAAAGGAGGAGGAGGTTGAGGAGGAGGAGTCGGGCCTCGGGACCGTCAACAAACGACTCAGGACGAAAAACAGTCCCTGGGGAAGTGGTCCAGACTTCCGGTCCGTCCGGTTCCAACGCATCGAAGCAATTTGAGCAGCTGGACATTTGGGGTCATTTTGGGCCGGAGTCACTTCTGGCAACACCCGCAGGCGGAACGAGGAGAGATGGGCGGTTTCTTTTTCGCGCATCTCTTTGGCCGGTGCTGGGCAGAACGGGTCGTGAAGATCGCCCAAATCCAGGACATGTCGCACACTCCTGTGTTTCTGTCGTGCTTGCCGTTCCTCCCCTCCCGGTTGCCCCTCGTCCGCGCAAGAGGCGCTGGGAGAGAAGCGGGAGTCGCTCCCGGGCTTTAAGCAGAGGAAAGACGTCATCGAGTCCATCTCAGAGGCCGATGCCACTCCGTCGGCGCCCTCCTTCGCTCGGCGGTTCGAAGAGGGGGTCCTGAGGGATGGGGTCCTAAGGAGTCGTCAGAACCCCATCCCTCAGGACCCCGCCTTCGCACCACGATTCACCTTGGGGCTGGATTGCGGGCCACACTTTGAGGAGCATCGCAGGCCTGGAGGTGGACACCAGCACCAATGTCGGCGACATTCCTCCACCGAGGGAAGAAGATCCCGATCTCGGTGACGGTGGTCACATTCTGGCTTCCAAGGCGACGGCAACATTACCACCAACACCGAGACCTAGGATGACCTTCCCTTTTGTGGCGGCAAACCCCTGTGTTCGTGTTGGTGTTGGTGCCAATTTCCAGGCCTCCGAGAGCAGCAACAGGCGGGGAGCCGCCCAGCGTCCTGCACGCGCAGCCACCCCCCAGGCGGGCGGGCGTCGGATCAACGGCAGCCAGGTGGTACTCCTCAACGGCGAGACGGGCTGCGGGAAGTCCACGCAGGTGCCGCAGCTCATCCTGGACGCGTGCCCGGAGGCCAAGATCCTCTGCATGCAGCCGCGCAAGCTCGCGGCCACGACGCTGGCAGAGAGAATAGCAGCGGAGCGGTGCGGGCCTCAGTGCTGTCGTGTTGATTGGGGCCTTGACCGATTGTGCCGTTTTTTCGTTTGCTTTATTTAATCGCTTCGCTCACTCCGCCGGCCCATACGGTCTCATGTCTGCCGTTTGCCCGAGGGCCTGGTGTCAATGCGGCGCTTTGGGGGTTCCTGGGGCCGCTTGGGGGACTGCTGGGGCGCTCGGGGGGGCATTTGGGGGGCCTCCTGGGGCCGGTTGGGGGACTCTTGGGGGCCTCCTGAGGGCCTCGTGGGGGCCTTTGGGGCCTCTTAGGGGCCTCGTAGGGGCTTCTTAGGGCCGAGGGCTCGAAATTTTGTTTCGTGTTCCCTCTCTGGGGCCCCTTTGGGGGTGTTCTTGGGGCCCTCTTGGACCGTCTTGGAGGCTTCTTGGGCCGTCTTCGAGCCCTCTTGGGCCATCTTGGGGCCCTCTTGGGGGCCTCTTGGGCCCTCTTGGGGCGATCTTGGGGGCCTCTGGGGCCGTCTTGGGGCGTCGGGAACCGAAAAGGTGGAAGCTCCAAAATCTCTCAAAAACCTAAGGAAAAACAATGAATTTTGCCTCCGGGGGCCCTCTTGGGAGTGCTCTTGGAGGCCTCTTGGGGCGTCTGGGGGCTATCTTGGGCGTCTTGGAGCGATCTTGTGGCATGTCGGACCCCTCGTGTACCATCTTGGGGGCCTCTTGGGGGCCTCTTGGCCTTTCTTGGGGCTCTCGGGGACGTCTCGGAGCCCTGTTGGTGCGCTCATGGAGCGCTCCTGGAGCGCTCTGGGGGACTCCTCCCGGGACTCTCTCAGGACCTTGCCGGGGTACTTTTCGTCCGTGGACCCCCAGGGGCCGCCCCGCGCGCGCGAACTAGAGAATTGTTAACCAGTTACCGGAGATCTTAGCACGCCTCTGGCCCGTTGGGCCGGCGATTGTGCCGTTTTTTCGTTTGCTTTATTTTGCGACGCGGGGTGGAGGAGCAGGAGGAGGAGGAGGAGGAGGAGCTGAAGGAGGGGGAAGAGGAGGAGGAGGAGGAGGAGGAGGAGGAGGAGGGGGAGGAGGAGGAGCTGAAGGAGGGGGAGGAGGAGGGAGGAGGAGGAGGGGGAGGGAGGAGGAGGAGGAGGAGGAGGAGGAGGGGAGGGGAGGAGGAGGAGGAGGAGGAGGAGGAGGAGGAGGAGGAGGAGGAGGAGGAGGAGCAGGAGGAGGAGGAGCAGGAGGAGGAGGAGAAGGGCGTCCTGGGTCTCTTCGCTCCGCGCGCTGCGCGGTGACTGCCCGCAGGTGCGGAAGACGCCGAGGCGTTCGGGGTGCTCTTTGGGTTCTTCCCCTCGGGTGCCCCCTGCGCGCGGGTTTGCAGGGGCGGGCTTCCTGCGAGGGGTTTCCTGCGGCCGCGCCCGCCCGGCTCTGGGGGAGCGCTCTCTCGGGGGACTCTCGGGGGGGGGCGGGCAGCGTCCGAGTCCCGAGGGGTGCCTCCTGGGGCCGCTGCGCTCGACTCTGCGGCCGACGAGGCCGGCGCCCGCCGCGCACGCCACGGGGCAGCGAGGGGGAGATCCACGGCCATGGACGGCGGACAGCTGCCAAAAGACCAGAGCCGGGCGATCGCAGACTTGGATGACGGGGGCGTGGATGAGCGCCGCTCCCGTTTTTGTTTGTGCGGCAAGGCTTACTGTCATGTGGCAAAGGCTTGAATGTCATGCCATGTAGTGGATGAGCGCCGCTCCCGTTTCCATGGGGAATCGCGGGTTCCCCCCGCCGTTCGAGGCGGCACCGGCCGCGTTTTGGGGAGGGCACCTCCCCCGATCCATGGATTTGGCGACCGCGCGCCAAATCCACGGATCGCCAGTCCATGTTTGCGCGCCCCCGAACAGAGGAATGACTATGGAATGGCCGTCGGCCCCTCCCGCCACCGTGGTTGGAGTCGGGGTCTGAGGCCATTCGGATGGATGCATGGGGTCTCGCGAGGGACCCTTCGGGGGCGTGTGGGAGCGGTTCTCGGGCCTCTGGAGGGCGTCTGGGAAGCTTGGGTGTGTGTGTTTGGGGCTCTCTTGGGGCTCCCTGGGGGCCTCTTTGGGCCTCCTGAGGCTCGGCATGTTCATGTTCGTTTGGATTCCCCCTCGGAGCCCTCAGCTGAGGTTGTCCCGGTGCCCCTTCTGGCCGTCTAGAAGGTTTCTGGCCTGTCCTGGTGTTCTCTTGGGCCGTTTTGGACCGTTCTTCGGGACCTCTTGGGCCATCGTGGACGTTGTGACCGCTCATGAGGCGCATCTGCTAAGCATGGACGTTTTCCTAGGGGATGGGACGTGCTTTGCTTCTCGGAGCTCAGTTTAGGAGCCCTTTGGAGGCCTCCTAGGGCGTCTTGGGGTGATTGAAGGCTGCCTAGAGGCTATTTGGGGCGCCTCGGAAGAGCAATCTGGAGGCGTCTTGGGGCCCGAGGCTCGACATGTCCGCTTGGATGCCCCCTCGGGGCCTCCAGCTGGGGCCGAGCCCGGGGCCCTCTTGGGCCGTCTGGGGGTGCGTCGTGGCCCGTCTTGGAGGTCCCTCGGGTTGTTTTGGACGTCGTGGGCCTCGTGGGCCGTCGTGGACGTGGTGATCGCCCAAGATGCGCATACGCGAAACATGTTGTTGTTTTCCCCATGGGAGTGGGGCGACTTTGGCTGTCGAAGCCCTCTTTGGAAGCCTCTTGGTGGCCTCCTAGGGCGTCTTGGAAGGATTGTGGGCTGTCTGGAGGCTGTCTTGGGCGGCTTGGAAGACCAATCTGGGGGCGTCTTGGAGCCGAAGGCTCGAAATGTCCGCTCGGATTCTCCCTCGGGGCCCCCAGTTGGGGCCGTCCTGGGGCCCTTTTGGGCCGTCTAGGGGTTTCTTGACCCATTTTGGGGATCTCGAGCTCTCTTGAGGACTTGTTGGGCCGTCGTGGACGTCGTGATAGCCCAAGAGGTGGATATGTTGAAAATGAAAACGTACGTTTCCTTCGAGGAATGGGACGGTTTGTTGCTGCTGGAAGGCCTCTTTGAAAGCCTCTTAGAGGCCTCTTACGGAGTCTTGTGAGGATTGTTGGCCGTCTTGAAGCCATTTCGGGCGTCGTGGAACAATTTTCGTCGCCTTGGGGCCCTCTTGGACCGTCTTGGGGACCTCTTGGGGCCCTCTGGGCCCCTTGTGGAGCCTTTCATCCTCCCATGACGCGTTTGTCCCGGGTCCGTTCCGGGCGGGGTTGGGGCGGGGGGATCGAATTCCCGGTTTGGGGTCCCAGGGGGGGGGGAGAACGGGGAGGGGGAAAAGAGGGGTCGGCGGCGGTCGGCGGATTCCGTGCTTACGCTACAGTCGCGCTGCGCTAACAGGCCGCTGACAGCGCGCGCGTGTGCGCGTGTGTGCGTGTGTGCGTGTGTGCGTGTGTGCGTGTGTGTGTGTGTGTGTGTGCGTGTGCGTGTGCGCGTGTGCGTGTGTGCGTGTGTGCGTGTGTGCGTGGTTGCGTGTGTGCGTGTGTGCGTGTGTGCGTGTGTGCGTGTGTGCGTGTGCGCGTGTGCGCGTGGGCGTGTGTGCGTGTGTGCGTGTGTGCGTGGCTGCGTGTGTGAGTGTGTGCGTGTGTGCGCGTGTGCGTGTGTGCGTGTGCGCGTGTGCGCGTGGGCGTGCGTGCGTGCGCGCGTGTGCGTGTGTGCGTGTGTGTGCGTGTGCGTGTGTGCGTGTGTGCGTGTGTGCGTGCGTG